CGCCATGCCCGAGCGGCAGCCCCGGCCTCGCGGCCTCGCAGGCGCCCGGCCCTCCCAGCCCCGGGGCCGGGCCTGCCACCTCCGTGCCCGGCGCGACGCGACGCGACGCGACGGCAGAGCCGCAGGACGGCTCGGAGGAGCTGCCCGTTTCTCTGCGGCCAAACCGCCCTCCCGCTGCCCGTAGCACCCTGCTAGCGCCGCATTCTCATCAACCTGAAGTACAAATAAGCGGTTGTTTTTAAACCCTAACCACTGACTCTTTTTTTTTTTTTCTTTTTTTTTTTTTTTTTTTAGTTTTGATTGCTGCTGGATTTTTTTCTATTTTCGTCCTGTCTGGCAAGCGCAGCTCATTGTTACTCCAGTATCTGATACTGCATCCCCTGAAGCATTCCAATGGCTTGGACCAGGACCCGGCCGGCTGCTTAATACTGATTTTACGATCCTGTTGAATAGCATCCTCCTCTGTTTTGCACATACTTTTATAATTTTGAATGCGTTTAAGTAAAAAATAAAGAAAATTTTTACAAAGTGCTCAAATAATGCAACCACAAGCTGAAGCTGAACAGAAGGAGCAAAATTCTGACTTCAGAAGTCCAATAAAAATAATTGGGCTCAGAATCCGGGCCAGTAATTTCTGGGGTTTAACTATTTTTGACATTCCAGCTTAAACTGATTTTTCTTCCCCAAAATTATATCCAGAAGGAAGAGTCCTGATGGCAGAAACTTCTGATTATGTGTGGTAATATCCTTCTCTAATGTTCTCCTACCAGCTACATCCTGTGAAAAAGGAGTACTTCTTTGGTTCTGTGGAAATTGAAAACTATAGCAAAAATTATTCATGACTCTAATCCCAGTAGCTAGTAAGAAATATATACGCAGGCTTAATTTTCAGTCCTTCCAAGATGCAGTTTTTCAAAAGGCCTTGCTGGAAAGCTATCATGAAGCTTCAGCTCCAGCTCTCAGCTTTAGATTGAGATCTTCTGCAGCAAGCCAAGACACTTCCCCACTAGCTACTATTATGATAACCTATTAATAATTATTTTCATCTGGAAAACATGTTTATTTGTTGGGTTTTTTTCTGTTGGTTTTTTGTTTTGGGGGTTTTTTAATATTACATTCTACAAAGAAGATAGTTACTGGGATTAATGATTCCATGAGGAAAATATGTAATGCTTACTGAGCCACAAAGCTTTCCCTCTCCAAAATAACTATTTATTTTTCATTTTATCCAGTGAACTTCTATGGTGTCAGGCTTTTTGCATCAGATTTATTTCATCATAAGTACGTAAACCAGTTCATTATACATTAAGAAAACATGGGACTTTGCAGTAGTAGCACTCTGAAGTTTGAAGTGTTTATGAATGGAGGGAGAAAAATAAAGATTTTTTTTTTTTTTTTTTTAACCAGATCATCAGGCAGTGGGGGCTGAGATTGGCTGAAGTTTTAAACTACGTTTTTCTTTCAGAAATTACTTACTTGGGCTTACAAGCCAGACGGGCAGGTTTTCCCAGTAGCATTCTCAAACTAGGGTGAGGAATAGTAACTCTGGAGCCCAGCCAATTCCAATGTAAATCTGTTTTGTTTGGGAAAGCGAGCCAAATTGCTTTTATACAACATCTCGATGTTTCGGGCAACCTGCGATATTCTCAGCTCCCATTCCAGGTGTCAAGAAAATCAAGTGCTTTTTTTTTTGCTTTTTTTTTTTGCTTTTTTTTTTTTTTTTTTTGTAATTCTGAACAACAGGCACAGGCAGAGCAACACAGGGCAACCGCTTGCTGTTCGATACTAAAGAAACGCTGAAATGCAGTTTGGTTCTTTTTAAGCTCTGGCTGGTATTTGGTTGTTGCGTCTGCTCTGACCAACAGGCAGGATCAGACCCCCCGTACAGGGGGAATCGCTGTAATTCTCTCACAGCCAGCGCAGAGCCGCTTATTCACCGAGATGAAAATGTGGACAACAGTCTTACATTTGAAACAGCCATCAGACTGTCTTCCTAGATTTCATTTCAAACCCACAGAAGAGAATTTAAACTATTTATTAAAAATGTCAAGAATGACCATTTCCTGCTCTCTTAGACGGGAGAGAGCTGTGTCTTGCCATCGGTTCGGGGAGGGTTTTAATGGGGATGGTTACACCTGGGCGATGGGCGATGCACAGGGAACTGTCACCGGCCGAAGCCGTCCCTTATTCTCCGGCAGGGATTTTAAATCACCCGAGGTACACAAAGAGCGTCCACTCTGACCGTAACCAACGTGAACTTTCAATCACTCTTCACATAAAACTCCTGGCATCGCATTATCACTGGTGGCAACTGAACTTATTCAAACTCAAATATTACACAGCAAACAAAGTTTCGGTTAATTTTCCTCTAGCGAAGTATCAAAGGGAGCAATGCTCTTTGAAGCAGCTACCTTATGCTTTAGGCTTTATACAAATTCAACTGAACAGCACCTCAGAAATCCTGTACCAAATGCAAACAATCCCCACCTTTGGAAAACAATCCCCAGTTCGAGGAGTAAACAAAAGCATACATTAGTCACTCGCTCCAAAGATGGGCAGCCAATGGAGGTGATGAGATTTAACCTCGGAGACTGACTAATAGCATGCAGCATTCCCAAATCACTCCATGGCTTAAAGGATCCCAAGCACTTGAACATCATACGGCATACAAGGTTATGCCTGTGCACGAGTGACCGGCTACTAGCAACCCCTTACAGCAGGGTAAGGGGCTCAGCGACGTACCCTGCCAAACTTTTCTGTATGAATAGGGACTGTTCTCTCTCAGCCGCTGGATTTTGACCTTGAAACTCACACAGTTCACTGTTATGATTTCTAGCTTCATTACCATGGCCAGGAACTGAACTACAGGTTTGTTTTTATTAGCTTCTCCGCCACTTTGCCAACTATTCATTTGAATCTTCTAAACAGTCATCTCTGAATCATAATGCAAATTCCATTTACTGAAAAGGTGGTACCTTTAATATAACAAATGAACATGTTTAATGACTGATACTTTTAGACATTACAGCATCTCTCATGTTTTCAGTAAATGGATATAATTTTCTCTGCATTACCCTATTATTATTCTTTGCTAGCATTACGAAGCTACGTTCTCAGCTGCGGGTGTTTTCCACCAAGTGCATTTTGAAGACAGCCCAAACAGCAAGATTTAAAAGACATCTCCCTCTATATCTTCAGCTCAAAGTACTGCAGGATACAGAGGGTCTGGATTGGTATTTTATTCTCAAAATGTAGTTACTGCTCACACCTGTGTTTCAATAGGGCCATGCTCTGCCACAACTGCTGACTGTATTTTTGTTGGAAGGATATCTACAGATGCATTTCACTTCAAAGGCAAATAAAGGCTGTTGTGTATAATCAGGATAACTTCCTCGGTCTGAAGCCATCTCCCATTTGGAATAAAACGTTTTGAGAGCGAGCAAGCAGAAGTGGGTCACCCCTGTATCCGTCCTGAAGCATGATTATAACACCATTCGAGTTTGTAAGAGCCATGCATGCAACCATGCATCAGGAGATGGCTTGGGTGCTCACATGGGGGAGATGGAGGGGAAAATGGTGAGGAGGGGTCAGTGAGCCCCTAGTACTCAGTCTGGTTCAGAGAGACACCATCGCACAAATTGCTCAAAAGGGCAGTACACAGAAACCTGCTTAAGTGCAGCAGACACTATCATTTTGATTTGTGAGTGTTACAGCACTGAATCGTCCTTAAACAACACCGCTGTGTTTGGAACACCATAATGTTACGTTCCAATTTTACTTGAAGATAAGAATGAAACAGAAGAAAAAGATGTAAGTAAATATCATATGAAGTCACATGGGAGATGCGACAGTTTTTCATTCTTGACCTTAAAAGAGAGAGGCTGATCTTCTTTCTGAGCAACAGCTCCCTGGCTTCTCTTCTGTGGGTTTGACTGAACCTCTGCGACCCATGCAGAGGGACTCCACTCACAGCAACAAGGGCGTTAATGCAAGAGGAGCACTTAAAACAATCTTGTAATAGAAAGGTAAACATGATTGCTTGGAATTTATGGGGTTTCAGATTATGGACCGTAGCCAACGAGTGAAGTTGGGAAGGGTCCTTCTGTGGATTTTATGGGCTTTTGGATCAAGCTTTGTAAACCTACCCGCTCACATGCAACGTGAGCCACACGTGTCAAGTACTATTTGCAGCTTCCTAACAACATTTTTACATAGTTCTAGTCTAAGTCAACTTCAACTCTTATTTGTTATTTACATCCATAAGGCCTTTTTATTTACATACTAGTAATTACTGGCTATCACAGACATACAGCAAGTCAGATACTAAGCTCGTCTGTTCTGTTCTGCTCTATCCTATCCACTTTGTGGGAGCACATTAAATAACAGGACTACTGCATATTGTTCTACACCTATTTCAGAGAAAGAAATGTCAGAAAAAGTGCCCTGTGCCTTCACCAGGCTGTAATGAACTTGGAAAGATTTTAGATCTATGCAGGAATTACTTGTCATTTTAGGTTGACATGCTCTGTTACAGAGACCAGCTTTTGCAGAGAGTGCCTGGGAGCTCTGAGACAGTCACGAGTCTTTACACAAGCTGAAAACTCTCGTTTTAAATTGAAAAGATGCTGCTTAAACTTAAAGATGGGTAATATTGTGCTGTTCTAAATTTGATGGGACAGCTTCCAGCGTCAAAATGTGACTTGCTGTCTACTGTCTAGGTGATTTGGGTTTTTTTGGGGTTTTTTTGTTTTTTTTTTTTTGTTTTTTTTCAAATGAGATTTTGCTGTTTAACAGTAGAAGTAACACAGAGGGCAGGACAGGAGAAAACAAGAGAAAACATAGAGATAATTCTATGCCTTTGGAATCAGCCTACATCAGATCTTGCAGCATTCCCTGCTGCAGAAAACTCTATAGACACCGTCTTCAAATTCCCTCCGCGTAACCAGAACTTGACATAACAGGTGAACATGACCGAAGTGAAGTTGAGAACAAACACATACCTCTTCCACTTCTACCCACGAATCGGAGGTCATTGAACCTTGCTACTTGGTTTTTCATCGCGGCTGTGGCGTTTCTGAGTTCTGCAGAGTAGTTTTCATCATTTCCAGCCATCACCGTTACCAGCGTCCCATCAGGCACATCTCCCAAGGCCACCACCTATGAAATCAAGGAGCAGAAGCCTCAGCTTCCTTACATGACATTTCATTTGGGGCGCAGAAGATCAGCAAGCAACGTCATAAAATAGGAAAAAGCAGCAACAGCAAAAATCTGCACAGACTAAGAAGCTGTTTGGGGAAAAGAGGAATTCTTTCCATTCCTCGTTCGCAGAGATGCAGAAAAGTTTTTACACCAATGCACCTCTGAAATACACAGCATAATGTGTACTCCAACATGAAATAAGCCTTCCAAAATATACTGCTGTAATTGTCAATAAATAAGTTCAAGTAACAGGAACCGATTCTGGTCTGATTTACATCAGTAGCATTACTTTTAAGCTACAACGGAGTCAGCACAATGGTGAAAATGTAAAATTCAAAAGAAAACAAAGCCAAGCCAATCATCTCATGGATGCAGAGGGTCAGAGTCTCCACAGCTGCATCAGTTCCCTGCCCTTTCCTCCCATCACTCTGAACAGAGCTGTCCCAGCACACATTCAGAGTAAGTTCATGGAAAAGCAGGCCTCAATCAAATGTTTAATCACAGCTTACTGAAAAATTTATTTTTTTTCCTTTAAAAGCATGAAAGCAAATCATTGACTTAAGACCTCACCCGCAACCTGACGGATGGAAATCATGATCCTAACTAATGAAATCTGCAATCGCTCAAAGGCTTTCGCCTGGTCTGAAATGTTTGTGCTGTAGCTCCTTGGTGCCAGCATCTATCAAACAACTATTTAGGAACACAGGATTCACTGCGTTTTTGATGCAATGTGATGAGAGATATATAGATTTCTAAGCTTAAATTTTCTGCCTTTTGTCTACAATTTTCACACCAGGTAAATGACAAAAAATGTAAGTTTATCGTATCTTCTTGAGCAGGACAGAATTTTCAAAACAATTTTACCCTGCTGCAATTGAATGGATGTCTTATCTGGCGTGTTTCTTGATTTACTCTGGCAAAAGTAAAAGCTTGAATTAGGTCCCCTATCATACTTTTTTTAGATTCCCCCAATTAAATCTACAGTTGAGACCTCAGGACTACTAGAAAAAAAAAAAAAGAGGAAAAAAAAATCTAGCTAATTTTTATTTCCTCTTTTACACATTCTAAGAGGAAGTAGTCCTGCATCATGCCCTCTGAGTTGCAGTTTGATATTTTTCCTTCCTCTTAGCATTTTCTAGCTTATGTCCATGCAGTTATAATTGGCTGAAACTTGTCACCACCCAGTCTTATTTCTATTAGTTTCTAATCACACTTGTTCTTTCCAAACAGGATCAGCAGCTCCTTTACTTGATCTGTCTCTAGTGCTTATTCCCCGGCTATAGCTACCTCTCATAATACGAGAGGTCTCCAGATTCAGGTATTTCACAGCCTTTCCTTCTGCAGGAGGCTCCGTTTCTCCCTTCAGTGCTCTCCCATTTGTCACCGATAACCCTTATTTTCACTTCCACATGCACAGTTAAAATCACTGTGTCAAAATTCCCTCTTTACATATCAATTTCAACTTCCTCTTTCCCATTCCTCTGTGGCCCATGCTTTTGGTTTTTTGTTCTCCTCTGTGTGCTGCAATGCATTTCTGTGGCCTGGGCTACGCTCAGCATTGCGCTTTTCAAAGTTCCCTGATCTTGGGATAAATTAGTCCCTGCTTGAAACGTTTAAGCTAGGAAGTTTTCTCCTTGCACGGCGCTGTGTCATGAGGCACGCTGGCTCACACAATCAGCAACTGCGAACCCAACGTGCTCACCCAGTTCTTAAAAAGTTACCGTAAAGCCTTAATGCATGCACATATATTAAAGGCACCAGAAAGGGAAAGGGGAAAATCAGGGCATTACCCTCACCTCCCTCCAGTGCAAATGTTTGCATGTTCACTTAGGGAAATATATGCTAGCATTTTAAGAGATGAAAAACCTTCATGAATCCAGGGTCAGTTTTCTGTTACAGGACAAATATTTTAAATCACCATTTTCAAATTACACTGAAGGCAACCTCAGCGATAAGACAGGTGAAGAAAATGTTACAAACAAGTATAAAAACTACACAGCCCAGAAAAGAAACTAGAGTTAAAAGTCATGGACAATAGAAACAGAAATACAAACATTTACATTAGAAAAAAGACTAAACAGATTAAGTTGAGACTTGCTGGCTGGAGTTATCTAGTACTTCGGTGTACTCTTTAGCTCTCAAAAATATGTATTTCCAGAGAACAGAGAAGACTATCAGAGTTGCAGCGCTGCTGGGCATCTAAATTACCTACTTCTGCTGCATCAATCAAACAAAATTGGCCTTTTACATTAAGATTTAGATTCTTTCTTAACAGCGTTTGCACAATAAATCTATAGGACGACTTATTAGAGTTATTGTGTATTATTTTCTAAGTTTCTGAGAATCATTCTTTAAGAAAAAAAAAATGCACAGAAAGAATCATTTTGGTTTGAAATAATATCCTGATCTAAAGATCAAACATCATGGGCGATTTTTTCTGTTAGCAAATACTTGATAAAACTCAGTGCTTTTTTGTCAGATGCAAGTAAGATATAGGCAGCATAGGGATGATACGAACTGATTTTTCTAGTTTCTGTTACAAATGATCTTAAAAATGACGACTTTTAAAAATGCCTTTGCGAATACTCAATATTTAGTCTAAAACCAATGAGATTGTTTTATATGTGGCAAACTATTTCAGGACTCATTTCTCAGCGCTCCATGGCAGGAGCGTTTTTCTGGGGGGGACAAGGGACGACGAGGAGCACCGAGTGCCCCGGCAAGCAGGTGCCTCCCAGCCCACCGATTCAGGAGCTCATAACGAGACCCTCTACTGTTGCTTTGTTTGTTTGTTTGTTTGCTGGTTTGGTTTTTGTTTGTTTGTTTGTTTTGGGGGGTTCTGGGTTTTTTTGTTGTTGTTTTTTGTATTTTTTTTTTTTGATTGTGTATTTCTAGGTGAAACTATCTCAGTGTTACAAACGCTTGCTTCCGCCTGTTTGGAGAGCCTGACCCTTCCCTCTGTTTGCAGAAGCCGGGAGCGGACTCGCTAGTCAAAACGGGGGGTTGTGCTGCCTGCGGGGGGGGGTGCAGGGGGAGGGGGGAGGGCCGGCGGGGACTGAGCGCGGCGTCGGAGCCCTCGCAAAACCAGCCCCCGCGGTTTGTTTCCCGCGGGTGATTTTCACCTACTCCCGGGGCAGCCGCCTGCTGCCAGCAGCCCCCCCCTCTTCTGCCCGGGTTTGGGAGGGGGGAGCGGGGGCCCGGTGGGTGCCGGACCCCGCGGCTCCCGGCGACCGGGAAGGAGCGGGAAGAGCCGCCTCTTGTCCCGCGTGTGTGTGTGTATGTCCGTGTCCCCCTCCCCGCCACCAGCACCCCGCTCCCCGCCGGGACGTGACCGGGGCTGGGAGCGCGCCCCGGCCACGGCCACGCGTGGCACGGCGGGGAGCCGCCGCGGTGGCCTCCGGTCCCGCAGGACGAACAGCGGCCGCGGTTTGGGGACTTCGCTTATCTCCCTTCCCGGCGGGGCGGAGCGGGTTTTCACGCCTGTTCCACAGCGTAACTCTGCGTGCCGGGAGGAGAGCTTCCCGGGTAATTAGCAGCAGTCGCCTGGTGCGTGGGTGACAGTGTAATAATGAATCTAAATGTGTGAATTTAGCTACTGACCCTGCCGATTAGTTCCTCCCTTTCCTCAGACTCTTAAACGCGTAAAACTCTCCAGACATAATCAAACTTTTCCCTAAAGCCGCCTCCTCAGCAAGCATTTCCCAAAGCTCTGAGAGCCGCACTGATTCCCTTTCCCCTCGCTTCTTCTCCCCCAAAAGCCATCGGAAAGACTCGGGTCTGGGCGCCTTCAGAAAAGTTGTACTGAGGCGGTCCGCGTTTAGCCGTGACCGCAAAAGGAAGCGCGAACTTCACAAATTCCGATCCTAAATCTAACCCCGGGGCTGCAAAGGAGCCGCACGTCTCAGCGCTCCCGCCTCGCAGAAGAGGATAACGAGAATAATTACTTTTTCCCTTTCCCTGCTCGGAAGCGTATCTACATCAGTAGCAAGAAAACCAGAGCATTCAAGAAGTCAGCGACAGACCCAAGTCAAAAAAAAAAGAGAGTGACCAAGACCAATTTTGCCAGGACACGGAAAGCAGGCCGGGTGAGGGAGGACAGGGCAGCTTTCTGCGGGGCTCTGTAAAGAGGAGGCGTCCAAGCGGCCGCGGGGTCTGCCCGGGGAAGGCCCTGACATTTATTATTACAACAAAAAACCCTCAAAAAACAGCCAGAAAAAAAAAATAAAAGGAAATATGTGTTTTGGTTTTTTTTTTTTCCTAAGAGTCCCTGGCAGCCTGGCGGGGGGAAGCGCGGCACATCCCGAGTCCCCCGGAGGCAGCAGCCCCGGGCAGGGCGCTCCGCGGCCGCGGAAGGGGACGGGAGCCCCGTGGGAAGGGGATCCCCGCGGAAGGGCGCTCCGCGGAGGGGGCTGCCTGCGGAGGGACCCGCCGCCGCCGCGGGCGGCTTCTGGGGGGAGCCGGGGGCTCCTTCGGTTCCGGGACGCCTGCATGTGTCTGCAACGGGCTGCGCCGGCATCTGGTCCCCAGGGCAGCCAAACTCCTCGAGTCTGGCCTTTTTTTTTTTTTTTTTTTTTTTTTTTTTTCCCTCCCTTTTTCCCTTGAGCGCAGCCACCCCTCAGCGTCAGAGTTGTGAATGGGCCGAAGCGGGAGGCAGCGGCTGGAGGGAGCCTGCCCAGCCCACCGCATCTCCCAGCCGCCGCCGCTCGCTCCTGCCCGGAGCCCGGCCGGGAGCCGCGCCGCGCCTTCCCACGCTGTCCCGAGTGGCAGCGACCGCGGAAGGAAGGATGGAAGGAAGGAAAGCTGGAAAGAAGGCAGGGTGGAAAGAGGCGCGGGGTCGCCGGCGACTCCCCGCCGGGGCGAGCCGTCCCGGTGCCGGTGCCGGTCCGGGTGAGGGTCTGAGCCCGGGGGCCGGCGCCCCGAGCCCCCCCAGGCGCGGGTGCCCTGCAGCCTGCCTTCCCCTTTCCTCCCCTCCCTCCCGGCCCACCCCGCCGCCCCTACCCACCACCCCACCACCCCCCTCCCCAGAAGCGCGATTTTTCGGGGAGCCGGCAGACGTACCTTGAAGGCGATGGGCAGCGTCTTGTTGCAGCGCCAGTGGGTGGGCAGGACGGAGCAGAGGAAGTTGGGGCTGTCGGTGCGCACCAGCTCCCCGGGGTGATCGGCCAGGACCTCCACCATGCTGCGGTCGGTGCTGCGCAGCTTCCCCGGCAAGGCGCCGCTGTGCTCGGCGCCGGGCAGCGGCAGCGGCTCGGTCATCTTCCCCGGGCTCAGCGTGGTGGAGGGCGGCGTGAAGCGGCGGCTGGTGCTGGTATCTACGGGGATACGCATCACAACAAGCCTTTTGAGTGAAAGACCTCCACAGAGTTTTTACAAAACAGCCAAACGAGCGTAACTCTTCAGCGATCTGCTCTCTGGGGACCAACATAAACGGATACAGGCTGAGGACCCGGGGGAAACTTGTTTCTACGCCAGTCCCCCAAGTTAATTTTTTGCTGAAGGCGGCTGAGATAGCGAGCGCGCCGAGACTTAACTCTTGGCTTCCTGGCGCGGCGGAACAGATCACGTTAATCCGACAAGCGAAAGGGTCGTCCGTGCGGGGCTTTACCGCGACGCCTGGGCATCTAGTCTGCGGCCGTCACGCGAAAAGTTACCGCGGGGGGAAAGCTCCTTCCAAACTCCCGAGCGCCGTGGAAAAAATTAGGCAAGTCAAATATGAGACGCGGTCAGAAACACATGCAAAGCCCGGGCTTCCCAGAGAGTCAGTTGCCTATCGGCTTCTTCCAGGTGATTTCTCTACAGTCCCAAGAGAAAACAAAATACATCAGCGTCTTCCGTAGGCAAGAGTCGCTCTTTAAGAGAGGGAGATTCGGGGTCAGTCTTCAGAGAAGGCAGTACGCGAGCTAGACTTTCTGATCAAAGGTCAGCTGGCTACAACGGTATATATATATGTATTCACGTACACACACGCACGCACACACACATATACTGTACTTCATAAAATATTTACAGTATAATCTGTAGAGAATTTAAACACAACAGGAATCCATTAATGTTCTCCGCGAGACTTTTTTTTTTTAAGCAGCCTTGAAAATCAGCTTCAGTAGTTTGGTTGGCGTTGCTCTAAGAGTACTCATGTTCACGACCTTCCAATCATTCTTGCGCAAAAAGAAAAAAAAAAAAGAAAAGCGAAAAGAAAAGCTCAGTGCATGGCGTTCAAGCTTGAAACCTCTATCTTTGTACTTGTCTTTGGTATAACGTCTTTCATCAATTTAAAGAAAGGTCGCAGCCGATCGCAAGCTCTGAGGCTAAAAGGTCCACAGCTGAAAACTTGGGTTTGGGGATGTTGGTTAAATTGTGGGTTCTCTCTGTGGTTTTGTGTGTGCAACAGCGCTCTCTCTCTCTCACTCACGTCCTCCTCAGCAGTCAAACCAACAGTCTGCAACAACTTCGGCTGTCATTGCCAATTCCTTTTTTTCCCCCCCTTTTTCCTCCCCCCCCCCCCCCCCCCCCCCCCCCCGCAGTATCTGAGGCAGTCTTCCTCTAATTCGGCCACAGGAACCGGCTGTTTAACAATATTTTAACCGCAGCAGGTGGAAGCCTGCTTTCGGAAACATGGTTTTTCTCTCGGCCGCCCTCCGGCCAGCGGGATGGATACTGCCAGCCTGCGCGGAGAGCCCCCACGCACACGCACGCACTGAAAACCAAAAGCAACTAAGCAGCAATTTAAAAAAAACCAAACCAAACCAAACCAAAACAAACAAAAAAAAAAAAAAACAAAAAAACAAAAAACCAAACCACCAAAACCACTACTTTTGAACGAGCGAAATCTTTCCTTCCGCAAGAGAGGAGGCGGCGGGCGGGGGCGGAGGAGCCGCTGACCCCCGCGGAGAGAGACGGAAAGAGCCGGGGAAGATCAACCCCCCCCCCCCCCCCCGAAGTTGCCAGTTAGCAGGGACAGCCTCCAGCCCGGACGGCCGCTCCGAGAAAGCGCATTTCCAACAGCCGAGAGCTCTCGGGTCTTCACGTGAGCCGCCGGGATCGCACGGCTTCCTGCCGCCCGCCCGCCCGCCCGCCCGCCCGCCCGCGGCGCCGGGGCTCCGCTGTTGCCGCGCTCCGCGCTCCCCCGCTCCGCTCCGCGCCCCGCCGCGCTGGGCCGGGGCCGCCGCCGCCGCCGCCGCCGCCGCCGCCGGGATGAATGGAGGTGGCCGGGAGCGAGTCGGTGCGGCGCGCGGCGTGCGGAGGAATGTCATTCCCCCGGCTGCTTTGCATACGGGGAGGGCGCCGGCCAATCACGGCCCTTCCCGGGAGCAGCCAGGGCGCGGCCGCGGGCCAGGGGGGCTCCTGGAATTGGCGCGCCCGCCGCCGCCGCTACCGCGGGGCGCGGGGGGTTTGGCCGCCTTGCCCTTCTCTTACGGACCCCCGAGGCCCGCAAGGTGCTCGCCGCGCCCCGGCATAACGCCTGCGCCCCCCCACCTCCCCCCCCCCGCCCCGGCGAGCTCTCGGCGGGGTTTGCCCCCCGGGGCGATCCCTCCCCGCCCAGGAGGTGGCGGCCGTACAGCCGCCCGCCTGCACCGGCAGCCCGGCCCCCCCCACCCCGGCGTTCCCCGCCCGTCCCGCTGCTTCCCGCCCCCGCGGCGTAAGGACGCGGACGCGGGGGGCGCCCATCGCCACCCGGCACGTCGGGGCTGCCAGCGGGCCCCCGGCCGGGGGACATTTCCCCCCCCCCCCGCCCCCCGGTACTGCTCAGGCACCGGCCGGGCCGGCGGGCAGCCCCGCCGCACGGGCAGCAGCGGGCCGCCGGCCTGGGCCCGCGGAGCCGGTAGCGAGGATGCTGGGTGGAGGCGTGGCTGTCCTTTCAGGCTGGGTTGGGGTTGGTTTTTTTGGTTTTAGTGGTTTTCTTTTTTCTTTTTTTTTTTTTTTTGGTGTTGGTCGCGAACGTCGTAAGGCTCGCCGCTGGCGTAACCCAGGCTGGGAACGGGGCGATCCCGACCCGCTGCCGCCGTCGCAGCGGAGCCCCCGCCCGTCCCCGCCGCTCTTTCGGCACAGGCTTGGGGTTCCCTCCGTAAAACTTCCCACCCCTCCCTCGCCCTCGTCTCCTCGCCCCGCCGTGTGCCCACCGGCACGGCCGCCCCTCCCCACGGCCACCCCCGAGACGCCACCGCCCCCGCCAGCTCGGCAGCCGCGCTCCCCACCCCCCGGGGCCCGGGCGGGTTTTGAATGGGGAGCGACAGCAGCTGCGGCGGAGCGGGCGGCTGCGGAGTGCGGTGCGTGGGGTGGGCGCGGCCGCGGAGGGGGACCCCGCCGGAGCCGCCTCCCGCCGCGGGGAGCCGGGCTCGGAAAGGGCCGCCGGCAGCGGGCCGGGGCTGCCTCCCGCCGCCCGGGCCTTGCGCAAGACGGCGGCGGCCCCGGGGGCGGCCCTCGGTGCAGCTCCGCGGCGGGGCCGGCAGAGGGGGCCCGCCGCCCGCCGTCGGAGCGGAGACAGTTTGCGGGGTGGGGGGACACCGCGGGGAGACCCCCGGGGACAGCGGCCGCTGCGTGCGAGCCCCGCTGCAGCCAGCACCGCCCGGCCCCGACAGAGCCCACGGCGGGGCTTGCGGTCCCGGGAGGGGGGGGTCGGAGACGCGCTTTGCGCGGCGGCTGGCCGGGCCCCCCCCCCGCCCCCCGGCACCCACTCCCCGCCGCCGCGGGCTGTCCCCCACCCCGGGGGGCGCAGGGCGGGGCGAGGGCAAGACAGAAGGGCCCCTCGGTTTTGCCGACACCCGCTTTGGAAACGCTCCGGAGCTGGGAACACGGCGGTCGGTGGGAACACGGGACGGGAGCGGGGACGGGAGCGGGGAGCGGGCTCCTGCCGTCCGGGCTACCCGGTTTACACGCGGTTCAACTGAAAGCGGGCTGCGCGCCCTGCGTGGGAGAAACCGGCTCCTGCCTCCCCGGAGCCCGCTGCCGGGCAGCGGGGTGCGCCCGGTGCCCGGCGGGGCAGCGCTCCTTGCGCGGGGGGCAGCGCAGCGTACTCGCGTTCAGCCAAATTCCACGGCACAAAGCGCCAGGTGTGGGTCTCCTCGCACCCCTCCGGTGCGGGTCAGGAGCGCCTTCCCCTCTGCGGGGAGGGGGGGGGGAATGTGCAAGGCTCCGGTTGTCCCCCCTCTGCCCCTCCGTCCCTTTGCGGGGTGCCCGGTGAGGCGGCCCCGTGGTACCTCCGCGCCGGAGGGTCACGGCTTCATCTTCGCATGACCTGCCCCCTCTCCCCCTCCTTCCCCTCCGCCAAAGGACGCGGGGCCGGTTTCCTGTGCCCCGCCCCCCCCCCCCCCGGCTCCCGAAGCGCGGCGGCGGGAGCGCGGAGCGGGCAGGGGGGCTCCGCGGGGGCTCCGCGGGGGCTCCGCGGCACAGCGCGGCTCAGCCCCGCCCGCCCTCCCGTACCTGCAAAAGGTCCCTGCGTTAAACAGGCGAGTTCGGCGCAGAAAACTCTATTTCACACCAGCTTTCTATGGGTTGTGTGTGCTTTTTTTTTTTTTTTTTTTTTTTTTTTAATTCCCTCTCTTAAACGGTTAGTTATTTCTTGTATGAAATTACCCCGAATGTAAATTGTTAGGGAGAGGTTTCCTTCTGTTTTAGGGAAAAAAAAAATTATACAGTCAAATGGCTGTTATAAACGATAGCTTAAAAGCCATCTGGTGTATATTAGTGGCTGATAACATTTTACGGTCATTGTAGAGATAAGAAGAGTTATTTTACTGATGTACATACATCTACATACATCGCCTAAAATGTGAAAATATGCATATAATGGTTTGGGGGGGGTTTATTGGTTTTTTTATTTTATTTTTTATTTTTTTTCCTTAAGAGGCAGGGAGTATTTTATATTTAAATTAATGAATATGTTGATCTGAATTTCACTCGCTGCTTTGCATCCCATCTTAATCTGAACTCCTTATTATAAATACAAAATAAACCTGATCCATTACATGTGGATAGTCAGAAAGATAAAAAATGCCACGATTTAACAGAAGATGCAGAAAATACTACACGCTTACGGTTTTCTATAGCTTAGCAGCATAATCAGTGCTGAGATGAAGGACAGTAATATAGACTAAAGGTAACAGTATTCTTTTTTAACTACAAGCCATGCTTTTGCAAGGTAAGTTAAGGAGTTAAATTAGAGACGGTAGGTAAGGAAAATAACATGGTGAGGATATTTTGATAGAAATCGAGCTATATATTTTACATGCCCATTAACACTAACTACATATGGGGGCTTTATTTTTGTTGTCGTTTTTTTTTTTTTTTTAACTAATTTATCATCTTCCTTATAATTTTATTTTGGATGACAAAGAGAGGAACTCTCGTAGGAATTTACTGTTCCCTTACTATACCCTGTGCAGGTTCTCTGGCAGAATCAGTTAAGCAGCTTGTGGGAATATGTGCGATAAGGGAAAGTAAGGAAACGATGCAGGGTGTTTAAAGCTGATGTTTCTTCTCACGTGGTAAGACTTTTTAGCATCCCTAATGCTAAGACTTGCGCTGGGACAGTCAGTCTTTTGTGCAGGAATCCTTTTGGAGCGGGAATCACAACTGGTGTTATAACTTCACCAATTCACATTCAGCACCGCTTACATTTGTATTTTGACATCAGTTTATTACAGCCGTAAACAAACCACAAGTGAATCCCTATCTTCCATGCCTTGCCTCCGTCGTACAGGATTACTTGACCACAAAGCACTGAGCTTTTTACATAATACAGTTAAGCAAAAGCTTCAGAAATAAGAAAGAGGGAGCAACAATTTAGGGATGAATTTTAAAGAGCCTAAATTGCAAAGGGTGAATTAGAGACTGAACACAATGCAAGTTCCCACTGTACAGGTAAAATTCCCTGGCCAAGCAGGCAGCAATGGACACTTGTTTGCAAGGGTTTGGATTTGTGTGGGACAGGAGAAAACTTGCACAAGGCAGGCAACTAAACATTTTGTTAAAGGAGAAAAAAATGCAGACCTTAACAGAGCTGGCATACGTATTGTATGAGCACAAACTGAGAGACCTGGCTACAGACCCTGATCTTGCCAACACCTAGAAACATGCCCAACCTCATTCTTAGCGGCGTTTCTGCTGAATGCAATAGAAATCTCTTTGGGGAATGCAATTACATGTGCACTTAATTGTTTGGAGCATCTGGGCTTAATGTGGCATTATTCAGTGGGTCAGCTCGTACCTCTTGCACCTGAATTAATTGAATGTATGTATTAAGACCCTCTTAAAGATGTTTATAGTGGTGTAAGCGTGCCTTGCTTCTACTAGTGATGAATAAGCAGATTAATGCCTGTGAATGTGATTTGTAGGATCAAGCTTCTGAATCGCCCCCGGAAATGTTTATTGCATAGCAGTTACCGTCATGGGTGATTCCACTGACTGACCTGAAAGAAATGATTACTGTGACATATTAAATTTTTGTTGGGCTACTGGAATAATGAAACACTGCACAGAGAAAAACATCAGCCAGTAAAGAAAA